TAAAGGGAAATAGGAAAATACTCAAGAGCCAAGTGGGGGCAATAAATTACAAGGGAAATATAATATCCAAAAGACTTATTAGAGAATAAAACAATGAAACCAAGGAGCAGAAACTCTTAAGTTGAGAACAGGATGGGGGGGGGGGGGAAGGCACAGAAGAGAAATGAGATAAGGAAAGATGGCATGAAAACTAAAATTGCAACAGTCAGATTTAAAATCTGTACTTTTTTTTTTTTTCCTTTTTTGGTACCAGGGATTGAACTCAGGGATTGAACCACTGAGCTATATCCCCAGCATATTTTGTGTATTTATTTAGAGACAGGGTATCACAGAAATGCTTAGCAACTTGCTTTTGCAATCCTCCTGCCTCAGTTTCCGGAGCCACAAAATCTGTACTCTTGTAATAAAAGACAAAACTCCAAATCATGGTATAAAGAACTTAAAAAACTCACTAAAATTCAGTGCAATCTGTACCAGCCACTTTAAAAATGCAGAAGTCTTAGGTGACTAAAAGCTACTGCGTTGGCCAGCCCCGGTTTAGAACAATTATGTCTAGAACAAAGCAACTTAGCTAATTAGTAGAACCAAGACGCAACTTTAGGTCCTCCTTACACCAAAGCCTATATGTTCTTCCCTTGGAGGAAACTAACAGAGGTACTCATATTCCTGAACCTCAAATATTCAATTTAGACTAACAAAATTCTGACTAGAAGAGGAAACTTACTGGATGTTCAAATAAGTTTTTTTTTTGAAACACACACATACACTCACATGCACATACACAGAGTTTATTATATAAAGCCATTATATAAACAAATGCCACTTTCAAAAATGAAAATTATAATTATGTCTTTTACATACACAAATTATGATGATATTGCAACAACATTGATGTATATTATAACCAATTCCCATATGAGGTACTTTAAGTCACAAATGCTACAAATGACCATAATCAACCCAAATTACATGTCATTACCACCTTCAAGGTGGTAATATATATTATACATAATATATAAAATACAGTTTGAAAACTCTGGGTTATTTGTATACTACTTAACAGAAGGAAACATACTTGTTTCCTCATAAAAATATACTATCAATTGAATAAATTCAGGTGCTAAATATAGTACAAATATGACATAGATATATAAAATATAAGTAATATAAATAAATATAGCCCATGGCCATACAACCCAGAAACCTCTAAATTAACCTGGACTACCTCCTCCTCCTCCCTCAGTCCCCATATTCCCACCAACCACGACTTTCTACAAAACCGAACAATTTAACATCTCTTAAATTAATCTCTTTTCTTCACTAATTTCTCACCTCCCCACATCACCACTGTAGTTTAAGTCAATATCCTCTGTGACCTAACCCCTCCTATCTGGTTGCCCTCCTGAACAAAAGAGATTGTTTACTTTTTAAAAAAATATAAAATGAGCATGTCATACCCTTGCATCAATATCTTCCCATTAATACACTTGTGATAAAGACCAAAATACTAAATAGAAAACCTTCCAGGTTACTGCCTAGGGATTACAAACTCAAAAACAACCAGGTTAAATATTGATTCGTTTCATTTACTTATTTGACACCTTAATTGAGTGGCATAAAATGAAGTGCACGTGCCCCTCTAGAGGGAGCAGTTGCTGCCAGATTTGAGCTGAGAGTTACCATCAGAATATGCAAACTTGGGTGCTACCCAGTCCTCTATCTAATCTTTTAAAAGAAATCAGAAACCCAGAATTTCATGTGAAATCTCCTGATCTGAGAATGCTGGCAACTACTTCAAACTTCTGTAATGTTAAAGAGGCCCAAAAAACATGCACACAAGCCAAATCACACCTCTCATCTAGTCTCCTCACTTGGCCCCACACAGTCCCTCTCTACATCAACCATACTTTAACACTGAGCAGATCCTCAATGACCTTAAGCTGTTTTACCTTAGGGGTCTCACAAGTGTCACCTCTTTGGCCACTTCTCCCCTCCCCCCTCCCCTCTTTATACTTCATTTAGTGATTTCCTACTCAAAGTTTCTGAGCCCTTGCTTCCCAATGAAGCCTCCCTAATTGTCACTGCCCTGTACTCCCACTCCATATATTAAGTAACTCTAACTCCATTATGTGCTGTGATCACAACTTCACTGCACTCATTATGCTTCGAAACCATTTATTTAATGCCCATCATCCCTCCTAAATAAGGAAGCTCCATATAAATAGGGCCTGGCAGCTCACATGCAATATACATTTGCTGCTAACAGTGGTACGGTTATAAAATGTTCCTTTAGACAATAAGATTCTAGTGTACTTTTAAGATATAAACCAAACGACACCCAACTTTTCAGGAACATATACAATATTTAAAGCAGAGTCCAAATTAAAATATTCAACTATAATTATGATTACTGATAATAATAGCTAAAAATGTATGGTTAATTAAATAAATGCTAGGAACTACGTTGAGTGCTTTGCATGTATTATTTGATTCAATATGACAACCTACAAAATAGATGCTACTGTCATACAGAGGAAACAACTTAGGCATAGAGTTTAAAAAGATCCCACATCTAATCAGTTGCAAACTATAGTATGAACCCATGTGTTCCAGAGAGTAAACATCAAGCTACTATACTAAATGATCCATTAGTAAAGAAACACCAGTCCAAGAAGTATCTCTTAAGTACTGTTAATAAGGAATAAGGACCATGCTTATTAAAGTAAGGTTCCTCATGCCTCTCCCCAAACACTTCCACATACACACAAAATTAAGATAAATTGTCAATTTATGCCTTCTAAATTAAGCTTTTTATCCACACCCAAAATATGGATGATCCCAGTACCAACCAATTCTGTGGGGATGTCATCTTTCTGAAATATTTTAATTAAGTTAATATCTACATATTAATTTGATGTTTTGTGTTTCCACATTTTAAACTTAATTTAAAATTCATTTCCTTCTCACAGAATTTTTATCACTATGGGCTACATTTCCAGATGAGAGTAAGCATCAAAAAACACACTAAAAAAATAAAATTATATAACCACAGAAATTTATATATATATATATATATATATATATATATATATGTGTGTGTGTGTGTGTGAATATATATATATATATATATATATATATATATATACATATATATATATATAAGCTAATACAGAGATCCTTCACTAACTGAACTCTATTCAAATTCTCACTTTCCAAAATTCAAGAACCAAAAAGATTCCAATAAATTTTCACATGCATCATTTGCTATCTGAGTTCTTACTCTCCAAAAATCAGAATTTGGGTCACAAACCACCCTTTGCCATCAGAACTCTACATCCAATCTCCAAATTTAGGAACCTAGGAATTTTAGATAGCAAGAATATATATACATGTATGCATGGGCTATATAAATTAAAGAATTCTTACTTATACAATTTAAGCAAACTTTTTAAACCTGAATAAATGCAAATATATTTCACTCAAATTTTTAATTTCAACTACTATGTGATGTTTTAAACTGAAAATTGCCCATATTTATTTAAACTTTTAGATCACACAATATAAAGGAAACCGCTTAGTTTATGACAGCTTACTGTTAATAAAAAATAATGTTAATGCATGGCTGTGACAAAGAGCTTGGATGCTAGTCCTAAATAATATATATTTTAAAAACATTCATCATAGTTTATATAAATAAAATGGGAAATAAGATCTTCAAGGAAAACTACTTTGCTAATTTTTCAGTAACATTTCATAGATCACATTAGACTTTTCTCGAAGTCACAAAAAGCAAAATGAAAGAAACAATCTACAAGAATACAAAAGTTGAAAATAGCAAAAATCCCCAAATAACTTAGTTATAGAAGAATGGTATGAAAAATGTAGAACTACTCCAAAAGGTTCAACTAAAAGTCAAAGAATCATCAATCAAGTAATGAATTAAATAGTTTAAGAAACAGGAAAAACAACATTACAACAGTGTATTTTCCCAAGTATTGAACTTGGACTCACACTTTTTCAAAATCATCATGCTCGATTAAAAGTTAAAACTTAACATAAGCTGAAAACTGAATTCAAGCATGTGACTTTTCTTCATACTCAAAAATTATTTTCAAAAATAAATGGGATAGGTTTAGAAAAAGTAAACTACTTCCCAAAGTCTTCTTTTGAGTAAAAATATATAAATGATTTAAAGGGACTGTAACTAAGGCTTTGAATTCATCCTAATTTGGCTACAATCTCCAAGAGCTCGCTTCATATTTGGTGATCTGAAAGAATGTGAACCCCTTAACTGACCAATAGTTAAGGCTTAACAGTCCATCTCTTATACTGAAACAAAAAGATCAGAGAAAAAAATAAATTATGAGGGAGGGAAAAACCTAAATCTATCCACAAGATTCCCAAAGTGAATGACTTGATAATAGCTAACTAAACTGATTCCATATGAAACACCAACACACAGTCCCTGAAAATAACAAAAAGCAGGATTTTTTTTTTTTACCATGTTATATTCCGGATATTCTTCCCATGTTAGTCATTTACAAAGCTAAGATTCACTACTAAGTTTTAAACTGTAAGCCAGAGATTTAGAGCCCTTTGGGAGAGCAAACACATGGGAGCTGTCAATGTACTGATTCCACATGGTGACACGATGAGTGAATGCAATACGTTCTTGATAAACTGTAGGCACAGCATATGCCATTATTTCTCTAGGTTGTTTTCAAACCTCCATTCCCAATTGTCAACATCAAACAACACTGAACACAAGCATTACTCTTATTAAAAAATAAACAAAGGAGCTGGATTTGAAATGGGACTCTAGCAATCTTTCCAGTCCACGATTCCACTCAGTTTTAAACTAGCAATGCAACTCTTAGGACTCTTTTACATTTTACTGCCCAAAAAGAAAGGAAAAAAAAAAAAAGCACCACCATATTACATGCAATGACTGTACCTTGCTCTGCCAAATGTGAACACCAGAATTTCTGAAATAAACAAACCTGTGTCTATGTTCATCAGGTCCATGGATCAGGAAGACTCCAGGGTTTTTAGCCCCTTTGCCAGCATCTACGTGAGGAATTAACACATCTTCTAAACCCAGGTCAAAGCGTTTGTGTTTGGAAGAGTCTGGAAGGAAGAAAAATGCCCCAAAACACAGGGTGATGAAGGCACTAAGAATAAGGAGAAGGATAAACTTCTCGGAAAGTCTCAAGGTGGCCCTGTGATGTGGGAAGGAGGGCGGCCCCAGGTTCAGAGGTGGAATCCGGCGTCCAGACAGGGGCAGCAGGGCTGGGGTAGTCATCGTTTAGGCTCTCGGACGGAATACTTTATAAAGTTCTCATCTTACACCAAATGTACAAGACATCGAACCGTTTTCAAAATCTTGGCCAAAAAAAAAAAAAAAAAAGAATAAACTCAATGTTTCTCCTTTCACAGGAGTGTTGTGCTTTTTAAAAAGGGCATCTCTTTCACGCTCGTCCAACTACATCCGGAAACCTGGGTGGCCTCCCAAACGATCGTTAGTTTTATGTCCTGTGATATCTTCCTGCCATTAGGCTCTGAGGACTTCATCAGGTTATCAGAAGTCTCCTCTTCATTCCTGGGAGGAGATCGGGCAAACCACACTGCAGAAAAGCTGCAAGGTGGGTTCTTCCATCCCCGCACCCCAGTGAGATGCTCAAATGTGGTCTCCCTCCCCAAAGGGGAGGCTGGCGAGGTCCGAGGAGTTGTGCAAGGTCCACTTAATCTCCTCTGACGTCTCTATTCAACGGGCTCTTAACCTTCGCGGTGGCGGGAGAGAAAATGCAGGTCTCCTCGCAAGTCTCCCAAAAGGGAGGAAGATCTCACCTCGCGGGAAAGCCGAGGCAGCGGCGGCGGGTGAAGCCAGCAGGCTGGAGGAGGCGGTCGCCCGCGCCTCGCCACGCCGCCCCGCAGGCTCCGGGCGCCGGGCGCAGCTCCGATGCTGCACCCTCGACGGTCGGCCCGAAGGGCAATCGCGCCTCCAATACCTGAGCCCCGGGAGCCGCCGCTGCACGGTCTGTCAGGGAGCGGAACTTCCTCCTCCGGCGGCCACTGAGCGACCCCGGCGTGTGCGGGGGAGGGGAGGCGCGGCGGCCGCCTCCACCCGGCTCCTCCTCCTCCTCACCGCGGCCGGTTCAGTCGACCCAAGCGCCTGCTCCCCGAGCGAGGCTGCCGCCGCCCCTGCCGTGCCCGGTCGCAGCGACCGGACTCCCGCGCCTCCGCGGCGTGGGAGGAAGCCGGGCCCCGGCCCTCGGTCCGAGAGCCCGGGGCGGGCGCCTGCTCATTCCTCGCTCCGCCCTGGGGAGGCGGGCGGCCGCGGGCGCGCGGGAGCTACCGCGCCTCAGCGGGCAGAGGGTCGGCTCCGGCTCCGGCTCCTTCCTGCCCGGCCGCCGGCCGCCGCGGGGCCCTCCTCCGCGCTGCCTCCGGTAGCTCGTAGCCGCTCGCGCTGGCGGCGGCGGGAGAGGCGGCGCTCCCACGCGGGCGGGGCTGCGGCCCGGGCCTCGTCCCTGTCTCCGTAGGCCCAGAGGGAGCTGAACCGCCGCGGGGCCGACACCCGTTGGGCGCACGCCGTAGAGCAGTCGGGCGGGGGAGCGGGCGACGGGGCGCGGAGCGGCCTGCCGGCCCCGACTGGCGAGTGGGCGTCCCCGGGCGGCGGAGTGTGAGGTGCGCGCGCACGCTCCCGGCCCCGGCGCCGCCGCCGCCCTTCCCCCGCCCCGCCGGGCCGTCGCTCCGGCCTCGCGCCGCTGCGGGCTCTGCCGCCAGCCCGCCCGCGCCCCGGAGCGTCCTGCCGCCGTGATCTGGGGGCGGGAGCCGGACGGTTGTCCACCGCGCTGGACCGAGAGCTTCTCCGGAACCCGGAGTTTGCCCCCGCCTTCCGGTGGGGTTGACCGGCATTGGGGCGAGTGGGTGCGAGGCAGGTGACCAAGGTTTTGCTGGAATCTAGGGGTCCTGAGATTGACGGATGCTCATGGCGGAGGTTAACGTTTACTCTTCCAGTGTCGAAGTCCTGTCTGGGGTTATAGACCATTGGTCCCCAGGGTTCAGGAAAAGGGTCTCAAACTTCTTCCATACAGTCTATGGGCACGTTTTTTTTGGGCACCCGAGGCTCAGTTCATAGAAAGCACCAGCCACGTGCCAGGTTCTGTGTTAAAAGTAAAATGTCAACCTTGTCCTTCCAGTTAGGTTCCCTTCTCAGAAACCCAGTTACCTCCACTGCCCACCCCGTGTGAGAACACCTTCCTCATGGTTCAAGTTCTAGAGCATGTTCTCCTGTCATCTCCTTCAAGCTCCTTACCACCACCCTTCCCCATAAGAGCTAATAGGGATGAATCTGAAGGTGCTAAGACTCAAAACACAGTATGGTTTTAATTCAGGCTTAAAAACAACAGATTGTTCTCTTACCCATGTAATTGAGAAGAACCATGTTGTGATTTAGCCAAAAGTTTTCTGACATATATATATATATATATATATATATATATATATATATACACACACACACACACACGTGTCCAATTACTTTCGGATTTTTATTCCAATATTAAGTTGTCATTCCCTGTACACATCCTTACTGGTGACTGGGGATTTGAGAGGAGGCCCTTAAATAGCAGGGGTGGGGAAAAATATCAGCCTTAGATTAAAAATCAAGCAAAAAAGTCTCATGTTCAATGGCACAATTCATAATTACATTCCAGTCTGCAGGATTTCTAGAAGCTCTGCATATCTAACTACCTACCACATGACAAAAGAAGTTATTGTCATTGACCCTGCTTCACCAAATAAAGACATCTAAGAATGTTAAGGGCCACCTCTTAAGAGTGCCCTATCCAAAGTGAGCTTTGTTTGGACATAGGTTAAAAAAAGTGCCTTCCCAAAGTGTCTTAAGTCTCTACTGTTAAAACTAAGAGCGAAAGGAAAAGAAACACTTTGGTTTCCTACTATTGAGGTTATTATTTTCCATGAGAAATTCAGAGGAAATAAATATTGATCTGATAAATAGCAAGTTATATAAACCTTGAAAAGTAAATATTATCTAGGTTGACGTCAGCAATCATATGAAACCTTCCATAATCTAGCTGACAAGTGTGACATCTGCAAATTCAACCTCATAACTTAAAAGAAATCTTATATGTCCCTCTTTCTCTTTTTTTTTTTTTCATTTGAATCAAATGGGGTATAATTTCTCATTTTTCTGATTGTACAGGTTGCAGAATCACAATGGTCATACAGTCCTCTTTCTCTTTTTGCCCTTGCCTGTTTTGCAAAATTATTTTTCCATCATGAGAGTATGCACAGTTATTTAAATTAGTGATTATTGCAGCTGTCCAACTGTAGTCTGCAATTCTAAGGCCATTGATACCATCAGTTATTTTATTATACTCCTACACCAGCATCAGAACCATTTATACATGCACTCACACACACATTCTTCTAGAGCCAAGACTGAATAAAGAATCAGTACTGTTAAAATAAAAGAGCAAGTTGCAAATTCATTCATTAATTATAAGTATATAAAAATATGCACATAAAAGGAATAAAAGAGAATATTTGAAAAAATTATAGCTGATATTACATATAATTTCCCCCCATGTGTTCTCTTTATGTTACATTTATAATTAAATAAGTTAAAAATATGTAAAGAACTGGTACTTGAAAAAGTTAAGGTCTGATTTCAAGAGGTGAAGTTAGTCATATTAGGTAAACATACACACCAGTCCCTCTGAGAGCAATCAACAGAAAACAGTGTGTGAACTGGTGTGTCTGTGTAATCACATATAACAGAGAAGGATTTCATTTCAGAGGGTCTAAAGAGAATATTTCATTTTCAAAGAGTAGTAATACTTTGATCAAAGGTGCAGACAGGATTCCAAAGTAGCAGATAAAGTGGTGATTTCCCTTTTACAAAACTATATAAATTAGTTAATATCGTAGGAGATTAGAGTTACTAAATTATTAACAAAAAATTTAGTCCTACAGATTTCAGAATCCACTCATGTATTGCAATGTAAAAGTTACTTATATTGGTTTAATCATACATTGAATCATCCATTTTTAAAATAATTTTAACACCTTGTATACACACACACACACACACACACACAGTCTGCCCCTGTTTTAAGCAAAACTGAAGTCATAGAGTGAAAGAAAAACATAAATAGCTGTAAGCAAAAAAGGCTTTTGATTTACTTACTATTTACTATTTACTTACTATCCTCTTCCTTCATAGCTTAAATTGGTTCCCAAAGTGTCCAAGGAAGATTTAGAGGAGAAATTATCAGACATGACCACTGAACATGTAGGGGAAGAACCAGGCTCTAGTCCTACTTCTTCCACTCTTGGTTTCTTTATGAAGCATTTTCCTCAAAGGTCAGGGATAATTTATAGCTCAAAGCTATGAAGTAATCCAATCAATAAATGGGCTAAAGATCTCAATAGAAGAATTTCTTCTCAAAAGAAGAAATAGAAATGGCCAATGGGCACAAGAATAAATGTTCATCATCTTTAACCATCAGGGACATGCAAATCAAAACTACATTGAGATTCCATTCCACCCCAGTCAAAATGGCTATTATCAAAAATAATAATAACAACAACAACAAATGATGGCACAGATATGGAGAACACAGAATCTTTACATTATGTTGGATAAAATGTAAATTAGAATAGGCAATGTGAAAACAGTATGGAGATTCCTTAAAAAACTCAAAATAGAACTACCATATGATACAGCTATACAACTCCTGTGTATATATTTAAGGAAACGAAGTCAACATACAAAAGAGCTGCATGTCAATTTTTATTGAAGCTCTATTCACAATAGCCAAGTTTTGGAATCCACCTAGGTGGTGAATGGATAAAGAAAATATGGCATATATACACAATGGAGTATTATTTAGTCATAAAGAAGAATAAAATCCTGTCATTTGCAGGAAAATGAACTGGACTAGAGGATATCAAATTAAGCTAAATAAGCCAGACACAGAAAGACAAGAATCACATTTTCATTTATCTGTACAAACAAAAAAGATGACCTGAAAGTAGAAGAGGGACTAATAAGGGTAAGGGGACTGAGGGAACATTAAGAGGAGGGATTAAGGAGGATGGATTTGAATAAAGCATAATGTATACATGTTTGGAAATGTCTCAGAGAAATCCACTAATCTATACAATTAATGTGAGTTAATAATTACAATTTTTAAATACAAAAGGAATTTATAAAGTTAGTTTCATGAAAGTCAGCAAAGCCAAAAAAGAAAAAAACCTCAGTTGCTTCTCTGAACCAAAGTATTTGAGGTTCATTTACTTATAAGAGACACATTAGTTGAAGGACTAGTATGTGACAAATCATCTACTATGTGCCAGAGATGTGGAGAAATAAAACAGAATCTTCATGCTTACTGAGCATACAGTCTGGTGCGAAGAAATAAATGACACTAACAATTAAAAAACAATGGGAAGAATACTGTTAGAATATAGTGCCACGGGTTATGGGGACACTGACAGGACAGCAGAGTGAGGGGAGGTGGGTGGGGATTGGGTCAGGGAAGTTTTCTTGCTCAGGAATCACCTGAACTGAGCCTTTGATTAGCTAGAAGAGAAGGGTTGTTTTCTAACCTAGAGAACAGAACATGCACAGGTCAACAGCTGGGATTTCCTGCCACTTACCTAGAACCTTTCTACTTTATTCTTCCAGTAAATAGCTTGCTTGGACCTGATCCCTCCATACTCTTGAGCTGGAAAAATTAAAATGGTGGGGTAATGCTTTTACCTACATTACGAATAAAATGAGTTCAGAATGACTTACAGGTATAAACCTGTTTCAATAATCAAAAGACTTAGATGGTATCTT